GGTTCGAAATATCTGGTTGGGTGGGTGGGGGAAGATAGCGGCAACCGTGTGTGTGCGCGCAGGCAGTGCGAACTTTGGAAGCGGTGGGAGATGGAAATGGCAAGGGAGGGGGGCGAGGCGAGGAGAGGGAGCTCGCTATACTGGCGGAAGTCCGGCTGCCTTTCGACACTCCAAGACGGTGGCCCTGAGCATGAATTGCCTGCGCGATTGGGCGCGAACAGTCTGGAAAAGATGAAGAAAAGAGAGGGAACATAGCGGCGCATGGGATAAAAGAGAAATATATAATTTACTCTGCGACTACTGTATTTGAGAGACAACAGGAAATCACGGTAAACCGCTTATAGGAGTTGGGAGAAAGCGACTAGATGGCGTAGGGCGGAGACTCGTAAAACATTCAGGTGGATTCTTCAACAAGGTTTCGAATTGAAACCATTGCGTTTGGCGGAATTGCAGAATCCACTGACATGGGACATAATCTCAATGCACGCGCGGTAACGGGTGCGCTTTTAGCTGAACACATCTGACAGTTCGACCGTCGATTCCAACGAGGTCCACCGCGTGCTACACAGCAAGGTGCAGCAGGTGCGGCGACTTGCACAGCATCTGCCGCACTCTCTCCCATCACCCACCTGGACCCGGTGTCAAGACATAGTCAAGAAGACCGGAGGCGGGGGATGGTGTAGGTGGCTGGCACGGCCGGGGCCGCACCTAGGCGTGTCACCACATCCCCAAGTCAACAACACACACCTGATCACGATTTTTCACCAACAACAACACCAACACCCCAACAGGAGTTAGAAGGACGAGGATGACTGAGCAGCCATCACAGACTCGCAGAACCTGAAATCTGAGGTCGGATTCTTTGGACACTGAGAGTTGAGTTTAGCATTCCCCGATTGAGCGCCTAAGCACAAAAGGACGGGTAGATTCCGTGACGTGAGTAGTGAACGCCCCTCTACCCGAACGCAACTGACAGGACAATGAGCCCGTGGCACAGTGGTTGGAGGGGTCGGACTTCTAACTGGCAGATCGCGAGATCGAGCCCCAGGTGTTCCAAACCCTGGGGTTGGGTACGGCCGGCTAGCGGCGACCGGTAAGTCAGAAACAAAAACCCTAATCGCATATTCAAGCGACATCTGGGAACGGACAGTCGTTCTGTTTCATTTATTTCCTGTCTGGGTGAATTCTATCACATTTTACAAAAAAAGACATTCATGGACATTTGATCGGAAATAAAGTCTCCTTCAAATAGTTAACTTGAGGAATGGAAGAATTCCAGCATATTTTGAAAGACAAGACGCGTTTTCGCTCCTTCCCAGTACAGGCGACAGCCGATCTCATGAGATGGTAGTCGGAATTCTGAAATGCGTACTCGATTAGGAAGGATTACTAAAGTGGGGTTGTAATATTGATTGTTTTGTAGCATAATGCTCTATCGTCCCGGACACGCCAGGATTTTGGCCCTCAAATGCACTCCCTACTGGCCGCCCGCAATTAGCGCACTTGATATAAAGTGGCTACTTAAGTAGTATGCATATCTCCACTACTTTCCGATAATTAAAATATCCTTTCATTTGGTAGCATACCGCGTTTCCCTTAAGTTTTTTTACCCGCAAAAAGGATACGGCTCGGTTTTAAAAAGGTTTTTAAATTCCAGAAGGAGTTAGAGCTCGATCTGCCGTCGCATGAGTCTAGGGTTTTCAGTCTACTGGTTTTATACTTTCCGTGTAAGGAAAAGCAGGCATGTTATTAAGTAGAAACCGCACAGCGTTCATAAAATTCTGTAACGCATGTAGATTATGCTGTATACTTGACTAGCAGCATTAGTATACAGACAAATACGAGGCTACTTGAATGGACATTTCACAACCCTAAAAATCTCATTAGAAACTTCTAAAAAAACCGAAAGATACCCTTTATCGAGCATAAAATTCCAAGAAGACGTGATTTGCTACCAAATAAGTGCAAGAAGGAATATTTTTATGCACGCCTTCAACAAAATATATTAGCATTTATAAGGTCATTCACTATAACATGCATAGTAATTAAGTAGTACTTTTTGCTGAGTGCAGTCATTGCAGGCGGAGGAAAAGAAGCGCTTTTAAAAGCCAACATCCTGGCGTTTGAAATATTACGATATTATGCCGCAAGATAATCAATGTTACAACGCCACTTAAATAATCCTTCCTACTCGAATACGCATTTCAGAATTTCGGCCAACATTTCATGAGATCGGTCACTGACTGTACCCCCAAAAGTAATTCGGAAACTGATTTATTTTCAAATAAAGAGGTCTACGGACGTTCGTTAAAAGTTACATTAGATAGTAAGTAGCGTGCTTATGCGTAAGAAACCTAAGAGTAGTAAACTAAACGACGCATCATATTACGATCTGCAAAATCTGCAGTGGGAGTTTCAAAAAAACCAGAAAAGAGCCCATATTTAAGACATAATTTTCGATAAACCCCAGTATCCTAAAAATGAGGACGAGGAATAGACTGCGGGCATTTCTCCGGCAGACAGAGAGTTATTATAAAGTTCAATGTTTTCCGATGCTCAGTCGTAAGTCGGTGTGTACTAAGTAAACTTAGAATAATGCTGTCATGCAAGTCACGAGTTTTTTACGTTAAGTGGCGCTCACAGAAGGCACCGCATTATGAATTCAGGCGAGGCCATAGACACAGAGCCTTGATACGGAGCTTAGAAGAAGTCGGCTGGAGGTAGAAAGTGCATGGCGATTTAAAAAACTGCGAGGCTGACAACTGACCTTCAAGAAAACATCCAAGTCAAGGACTTTTTGGTGCAATGCCTGGCCGAGGTAGTAGATAACATCGTCAATTGCCTGCTCCTCGGCGAAGGCGTCTACAAGTCTGGAGAGAGAAAGACAATGAAGTAAAACTGTACTGATAAAGTCTGTCGGCAAAGAACACATTGAAGAAGGTGACACGATCACTGGGACAAGAGCTTTATTAGCCTAACGTCACGAATTCCTGCTCGAACCCATCATCAGAAACAAAGCAGACACGGGTGGTTCATGCACAAGGGGCTGGAGTAGTTATAGGATTCAGTAGCCATGCTACCACATACCTATGAATATTCACGGCTCCCCCCTTCCTCAGGGATCGTTGCACGTGGTGTGATGGCCGACATTCGCATCGTTAATTGCTGCAATTTCATCATGTGCGTTGGATGTTGGTGTGATGATTGCTCAACCATCTGACAAACCGACCCTGGTGTTGGGACAGGTGTTCACCTGTGCGCCCCCCCGGGTGGCCAATTACTCCGCCTAGGCGAAGTCGCAGAACCGAGTATGGCATGGGAAGATCATTGCACTTGTTAATGGACTGGGGGCCAGTAAACCATGACTCAAACAGCTCCCGACTCACGGGTTTGTCACCTCTTGCGAGTATTTCGGCCTCGTTGAATTTGAACGTGTGGCCGGATCTCGTCGCATGAGCCGCAACTTGAGAGTTAGCATCATTTCTCCGCACCGCTGCAGCGTGTTCGGTCATTCGCGTTCGGAGCTGTCTTCCGGTTTCTCCGACGTAGTTGCTTTGTCCGATGGTCGACTCCAGACGTTTCTTGTCGTGCCAGTGGGTCTTTCGGTTTCACATTCCTTGATCAGCTGCAGTGGTTGCAAGGGCGAGGAGGTGGGACGGATCCGACAGCTTAACCGTGGCGAGCGACAACGTCCACCGAGCGCCCTACGGAGTGGGCGCGGCTGTCCCCGACTTGGGCAGCATCTATCGCACTCTGTCCTCCCTTAATCCACCCTGGTCAGACAGGAGGAAGATGAGCAAGCTGACGCGATTTCCACTGCACAGTAGCAGACTACTGTGAGGGCGGCTGCGATTGCACATCAGTGAGTGCCACATTAGGAAGCGACCATTACTTCCTGACCCTGAGACCGGAGAGAAGGACCGAGTTATACCGTTAGTTAGCTCTCACCCAGTAACAGTGTCTGTGGCTTCAAAGTGGACGGCGTTGCGGACGCCGTGGTAGCTCCTGACTGCCAATCATATTAATTCGTCGTCGTCACAACGCCACTGCTGACTTCCCTCAGGACATGCAGAACCCATAGCGATAGTGCCCTGTCGAAAGGGTCAACATCCCTTCCCTGCCGACACGGACTAAGGGCAGGAAAGGGCTCATTAGACACCCTCGAATACAGCTTAATACCGACGACTAGCGCACTCCACAAATCACCCAAACTACGATCTTATTCTCGGTTTATACAGACAAGAAATCTGAAACAGACGAGGGACTGAGACTGTCAGGGAATGCGCCGGTGACTGACGTGCGAAGTGGGACTCTGACCTGAATTCAATCACAGGGTATCGCTAGCTTCCTAAGGCTTTGACGTTGTGAACTCGACCTTGGCTGCCCAGTGTTCAACCTAAGACCTAACTTAGGAGGTAGATGAAGTGTGAAGGGGTATCAAGCACAATCACCTTTCAGCTGGATACAACCCTGTCTGCGAGAGTTTCAAGCCCACAATGCAAAGAATCCCGTCAATCGGTTGTACTTAGACTTGCCCACTAGCCAGGTAAGAACTCTCTCGTAGTCAATGACCCGAAAAGGAACCAACGGGCGTATTGCGGAACGTTATCTGGCCGCGAAAGGTCATACAAGTGTGCTTGGGTGCAAAATCAGCAGCGGAGATGGCTACTTCGAAGGAAGGCAACAATGGGGCAGTCTCTACGATGCGATGCAATCACGGCAAACCGCGCACGCGTGAGGTAAAGGAAATCGAGTTGACATGCATTTTGCCCCACGAGCTCGTAACCCCCGCCGCCCGCCTCCCGTAACGAGTGAGCTCCGTAAGAACAATCGGTGAGCGCCCCCTACCATTGTATATTCCCGATCGAAATCGACAGGGCAACGGGCTCGTGGCCCAGTGGTTAGAAGCGTGGACTTCTAACTAACAGGTTGCGAGTTCGAGTCCCAGGTGTTCCACATTTCGGGGTTGGGTATGACTGGCTGACGACGGCTAATAAGCCAGAAATGGCCACTCCAGTCTCCCTTGTCCTTGTCGGTAATGACATACTACCTCTCCCGTAGTCCTTGGTCCGAAAAGGAACCAACGGGCGTATTGGGGAACGCTATCTGACCGCGAAAGGTCATGCAAGGTGCTTGGATGTAAAATCAGCAGCGAGGATGGCCACTTAGAAGGTAGGCAACGATGGGGGAGTCTGTATGGTGCGATGCAATCACGGCAAACCGCGCACGCGTGAGGTAGGGGAGATCGAGTTGACATGCATTTTGCCCCACGAGCTCGTAACCCCCCTCCCCCCCTCAGTGATGGTGTTGGAGGCAGGTGTGCGAACCAGATGGGTCATAAGCACTTAATCGAACCGAGGTTCATCGATGCCTCGCTACTTGCCATTTTCTGTCGCTGAAGATCGGGTATTTATTCAATCAGGAATGGGCGCACACCGATCCATTGGCTTCCCGAAGCAAACAAGCTTCGTATGGGCGATAGGGGTCACGAACAGGCAACCACCTACCAGGCCGAAGTCGGCCAAGTCATAATAGCAGCGAGGAGGGACGACAGAGAATGCGGGTTGAGTGATACAGTACTGTTTCGGGCTTATTGTGCCTTCATTCAGCCAATCATAACCCTGACCACCAGCTGGTACCGGAAACACAAACATGCGCTCAGACGCACCTGGCGCAGCTGGTCCACCACTGGGGTCTACCAGATGGGTCATAAGCACTTCATCGAACCGAAGTTCATCAGTGCCTCGTCATCTGCCATTCTCTGTCGCTGCAGATCGGGTATTTATTCACTCAGGAATGGGCGCACACCGATCCATTGGCTTCCCAAAGCAAACAAACTTCGTATGGATGATAGGGGTCACGAACAGGCAACCTCCTAACAGGCCGAAGTCGGCCGAGCTATGATAACAGAGCGGGAGAGGTGACAGAGTCTGCGAGGGGTAGATTGATACAGAACTGAGGCCGGGAACACACGCATGCGCACAGGGATGGCGCAGCTGGTTCACTACTGGGGTTTAGCAGGCGGGTCATAGGCGCTCCAACATTCCTGAGTGAGACGATAAGTATTTCAGAAGAAGAAGGTGCGATCACTGGAACAAGAAGTTTACCGGTCTGACGTTTCGGATCCTCACTCTAACTCCACCACCAGGGCCAGTTCGAGATAGGGTTAGCGAAGGCACAAGGAGTGCAGTAATTATAGTACGTTGCCCATGTGGGACCACATTCGTACTATAATTAACAGCTTTGGCCATCAGCGTCGGTTCATGATTGATGCGATGATGGCTTGTCAGCCTGCGTCCGAGGCGTTAACTACCGCGATTTCATCATCTGTGCTGGGTTTCGGCGCAATGATGAGTCGGCAATTTGACTTGCTGTCACTGGAATTGTTACTCATCGCGCCCTTTCCACGTGACTGGTTTCCCTCTCCAAAGAAAGTCTTAGCATCGTACACAGTAACGAGAGGTCAAGTCGTTTGTTGAGTAATTGCGGGCCTGAGAACCATGACACGAGCAGTTCGCGCCTCACGCGGTTGAACCTCGTGCGAGGATTTCAGCCTCTTAAAACTTGACCTGGTTCCGCTCACTGAGCTGCCAGCCAATAGCTAACTTCTTTCCTGCTCACTGTTGCCGCCTGCTCGGCCATTCGCGTCCAGAATAATCTCCCAATTTCTCCAAAGTAGTGGCTCTGTCCGCAACTGCATCAGATCCGGCAAACGACTCCAGACGTTTCCTGCCGCGGCAGTGGGTTTTTCGACCTCATGACCTGGTGCCTCTGGCCTGTGTGCAACCCCAAGTGGAGTAGGAAGGCGACTGGCGGCTTCCGAGACCTTCACTTACGGAAGAGCTCGCCTTGATTTACGACCAACTAGATTTGGTCTCTGGTGTCGTTTGCGTATACATATGGTCCCACGGCAGCTACACACTACACCTGCTGCACTCCTTGTGCCTCCACTAGCCTTATCTGCGACTGTCCCTGCTGATGAGTCCGAGTGAGAGTCCGAAACGCCAGATCAGCAAACTTCTTGGCCCAGTGATGGCATCTTTGACTTCTTTTGATCTGCTTCCGGGACCTCGCCTGTTCGTTTTAATCGACGCTAAGTATTGTCGGCTAGCCGGTTTCTAAGAACTGGCCGAGGCATAGGCACGTGTTCTTCACCCAATCCTTCCGCCAACATGTTTTTCCACCTGCCCGAGCCCCTGTCGAATGATTTCCGCAAAGATAATGTTCTGGCACCTTCTGAAAGAGGTCGTTAGATGCGGATGCTGAACGACGAGCTCTTGAGATGGAGTGACGGCAGTTCTGTGGTGGCATTATAATGGGGATTTGCGTTACGGCAGACAGAGTTAGGAAAATCTGAACAAATGCATCAACTTACTGTCGATAGACTGGCGCTGTCGCGCTTACGACGTCGTCAAAGTTCATCTGTCCATCCTCCTCCTCCTTCTTCAGTTTGTGATAGGCATCTCGAAGCTCCTGGGTCTTCTTCTCCAGTTCTGATGTGACCTGTTTCACTTGGGTCTGTGAAGTGACAACGAACATGGTCAATATCAGGAACATCAATCGGAAGTCACAGGTCTAAATGGATTTACGTCACCGGACGACTTAATCCGATAGCTATAAGCCAGGCGACTGCCAATCAGAAACTTCATATGGAGAACCGTGAGTAAATATGTTCCTATTCACATGCATGACTTACTGTGGCCCGGAAAGACATGAATCACAACACGAGGCGTGGTCTGTTTGTTGGTATATCTGACGACAACCCAGCGTGTGTCAAGCGATAGCACATGGCGGAATGACCTTTACTGAAAGCTAGTTGCAAAATAAGCAGATACACAGGACAGTGGTATTGCCTTCAGGTGTGGCTGGGTACCGTGTAACAAAGTAGGTCGGTTTACGACATATAGAGCCTTGCCCGCCGGAAAACAAGAAGGCCTCACCCAACACACTTGACCGTTGTCGGCCGGTCAGTATTACTGACTGTTCAACCTCTGTACGATCGCCCGCTAAGGTCTTAGACTGGAGTAAGACGGAACGCTCATTTTACATCGGTTGGCGTCACTCGAGCCTAACTGGTTCAGAACTGCACAAGTGGGCAGACATGGTTCGCTTTAGGGGGGTGTGCAGACCTGCAGTGCGTGTACACAGAACACAAACTCAGCCAACCGTCAAGAATTCCGCAAATGCGCTCAAACAGGGATGACCGTTTCTCGCCCCGCTACCATCGCCAGCCAGCCATGTCCAAATCGTAGTCCAAGAAACGCCGAGATTTGGACACGGGAGGAGTGATTTTCTGAGCCAGCCGACCCATGGCTTACGCTGCATCGGTCCTGATCGGCTACAATTACCAGGGGTGGTGTGACTAATATCCTAGACCCCGCGATATCCTTGTGATCACACAGACACGAGAGAGGGAGAGAGAAACAGGAAGGACAAATGGACTGACCAGCTCGCTGGCCATTTGGGCCCGATATATGTCCAGCTTTTCACGGCCGGCGTTCAAATCCCGGTCAGTGGCCTCCAGGGCTTCAATTTCACAGGTGAGCCGTTGAACCAGTTTCTGTTGTTGCCGATGCAGTTTCTCCGCAACCGCAGATCGAAGCGAGAGCAGGACAGGGTCTTCTGTGGGCACAGCTAGGGGGAGGGGAGAGGGGGGAAGAAGGTTAGATAAGACAAATGCTCATTTCTGGTGTACTTCGTTAGCCGGCCATCTACAAGTACAACTCCCCGCCCACTCCCCCCACCCCACCTAAACCGGAGAGACGTAAAGTTAGGATGCGAAACGGCACAATCACTGAACTAGGTGAGATAAGACAAATGCTCATTTCTGGTGTACTTCCTCAGTCAGTCATCTGTAAGCACAATTCCCACCCCCCCCCCTCCCCCCACTTAAACCGGAGAGACATGCCATTAGGATGCGAACCGAGGTCTAACGGCACGATGATTGAACCAGGAGTTTCGATGGGCTTGCCCGTCAAACTCCTCATAATAAGAGTTTAAAGTTGACACTCGAAACCCACATAGGAGTGCTTGGAATCAACACCTTGACTATGAGTGAGACGAGCTCCGGTCGGCCTTATAGTTTCGTTTGTATCGACAGTTACTGCGCCAAGTCACCTTCTCAGCTGCATTTCTGTTCTGGCGAAACGACTGCACGAAGAGAATTTTCCTCAGTTAAGAAGGCCACTGGTTAACTGCATCAGCCGTTTATCAGAACTAAATGCTAACGAAGTGACACAAATCTTTTGCATTACCGCAAATTTACTCTGATTATTGGATCTATCGCCCAGTTTCCCTGGGTCGATGATTGTCCCAAGTCGGAATTCTAGAAAAAAAAAAAAGGACTGAGGGGACAGCCTTCATTTAAAACGGGCCGGTCGGAAGCTCAATCAAGTGGTCTGCATGGATGCACACGTCAGCGAGGTGCTGAAGATAATGATGGAGCGCCATTCAGTGGGAGAGCCTAATAGCAGAGGACAGATTGAGTGGCGAGTGGACTGTACAACAGTAAATGCCTGGGGAGAGAGAGTGGGGGGGGACGGGATCATTTGTCGCGATCGGCCCGGTTTCGACCACAGGATCTAGTCACTCGCCCGCGACCAGGATGAGCAGAAAGGAGTAGACATCAGTCGGTTAAACTACCCGCTGAGCAATATTCATAGTCAACTGACCCAGAAGGGAGTCGTGATTGGTCAGCCATACAGACGGCGTGGGGGAACAGGCAGTGCTCGAAGGACGCCGGGAAAACTGTCAAAATAAACCAGAAGCTGAAAATGCCTCTATAATCAACGGTTCTGGATCCTGACTTCAAACAACCACTTAGCCCATCGGGGTCACCACGGTTGGCGAGGACGGGTGGACAGCTAAAGATGGGATGAGGGGGGGGGAGGGGGCAGATGGAGCCCCACAGTCGGCACTGGCGGTCAACACATAAAGAAAAATGTGCCAAATAGTGTGAGCAGTGAGCGAAACTCTCCAGTCTATGAAGGGTGGTAGACGAAATCATTACTTGCAACGTCAAATCTCTTCCACTGAACGCCTCGTGTCGAGAGAACGTTGGGACCTCGTTTTATGAATAAGATGGTCAAATATGCGGGTCCCAGGTTCTTGTTGCAGAGAAGACGGACGCGCAACCAATGGGGCAGTACGTGTATTAGCCTGTGCTTTCGGTCTCGTACAGGAAGCCATCATCAGAGATTGTACCAGTGCTCGCGCGCTCATCTTCTTGGCAAGATGGTCGAAGTTTATTTAAATAGGCTTGCTCACGTGAAAGTAAACACATACAAACGGTGACGGACCGTTACCAAGATACCACTATTGGGGACATCCACTCAAGCATGGAATCTTCAATTAAAATCACCCCAAGGGATTTTGGGATTTTAGGACACTCTGACGTGGATCTCCGCTTAAATGGTCCCTATGTGCGACCAACTGCCCCAAGGGAAAACAATCCTCTTTCCTCTTTCTAGACTCCTAAAAAACGGCCGCACAAACCGCAATTCGTTTAAGAGAAAAGAAACCATCTATCAGTGGCAGCGAAAAAAAAACACGAGAGTCTGTTTGGTTCCGACAGACAGACAGTGCGACTGCGAAGAGGAGTGAAGACTGAGAAGACGAGTTGACACACCTCCATAGGCGGGTTGCGGATAGAGGCCTGTACCAGCAGCCGGTGGCGGCGTCGGATGGGGTGGCATCATGGGCATACCGACGGGGGGAGTAGAGGAGGGAATGGGAGGCATCTGCCCACTTCCGACCCAGGCGCTGCCCGGTTGCGGGTAGTAGGGAGGGTAACCATTGGGAGCCGCTGCTGCTGGTGGCGAGACGAAGGAGACAAAACACAGACAGTGTGAGAAAGCTGGTACAAAATAAAAAAATGCAGCCGCCTCAAAGTGCGCTT